TGCTCTGCAAAGAAGTGTGCTCTGCAAAGAAGTGTGCTCTGCAAAGAAGCGTGCTCTGCAAAGAAGTGTGCTCTGCAAAGAAGCGCAAGTGTGCTCTTGAGCTCCCTCTAAAGAGAGAGGTGGTGGACTTGTCAATATTGATCCATTGTTGACTCAAGATGATTCAATATTGATTCAATATTGATTCAATATAGATTCAATATTGCCTCAAGAATGGCAAGGCCACCCGGCCGCGCCACCTGCCCGGCATAGAAGCTTCACCCTGCCGCGTCCGCTGCCGCGCCACCTGCCCGGCATAGAAGCTTCACCCGGCCGCGCCACCTGCCCGGCATAGAAGCTTCACCCTGCCGCGCCACCTGCCTGGCATAGAAGCCTCCACCCGGCCGCCCGGCCGCGCCACCTGCCTGGCCCGCGCCAAACCGCCGAACCCCAGCTCCTTGCTATACGTCCTATATGTACTGTATGGCTCTTACACACCAACCCGCTGAACCCCCACACTCTCCGGGCTCCTTGCTATATGTCCTATATGTACTATATGTTATCGAGACGCGCGTTAAAATACACTATATGTGCTGCACAACGCACATTTGGTACATGTTGAGATGCTATGTGTGTAGTATACAGCTCTGCTGGTTGGCGTGTAAGAGCCATATAGCACATATAGGACGTATAGCAAGGGGCCCGGAGACTGCGAGGGTTCCACGGCTTGCCTTGTAAGAGCCATATAGCACATATAGGACGTATAGCCTGTGAGGGTTCGGCGGCTTGGCACTCCGGGACGGGGACTTGTTTCGCACGATTTTGCATGGTTTTTGACATGGTTTTTGCATGGATTTTGCACGGTGCGGCTTTTTGCATGACATGATTTTGACATGTGGAACAGCTTGTTTTTTGCACGGTTTTGCATGTGGATTGCATGACATGTGGTTCAGCCCCCGCGTGGAAGCGGAGCGGGCACTTAGCTAACGTGCCGAGCGGGCACAGTGCCGAGCGGGCACCGTAGGAGACAGTGCCGAGCGGGCACTTGTAGGACGCGCCGAGCGGGCACAGTGCCGAGCGGGCACTTAGGTAACGCTAACCCAGGGCTAACAGCTTTTGCGCGGCTTTGCGCTGCAAAAAGCTATTACTCTAGGGTGTACATGTATGTACGGCCTAGAGGAATAGCTCTTGCACGGTTTTGCGCCACAAAATGCTATTAGCCTAGGCCGTATATGAAGATACACCCTAGACTAATAGCTCGTTTTGCACGGTTTGCACGGTTTGCCCACGGCTCCGCTGGTTTGATACTGGTTTGCCCAACCCGTTGGTTTCCCGAGGACCCCAAACCCTAACCCAAAAAAGGCTTGCTTCAAGCTTCCTCGAAAACGAGGAGGCCCGAAGAGTGCCTCCAAAGACAGCCCTTTTTTGCACCAAAAAGAAATGGTCTGAGCAAGGTTCCTCTAGAGCGAGACCTGCACAACCAGCTTTTTTTTTGCGCAAAAAAGGGTTTGCTCAAGCTTCCCTGGATGCAGGGAGGCCTGAAGAGTGCCTCAAAAAACCCTCGGAGGCGCCAGGAAGTCGTCCAGCTGCCTCACAGCCGCCGGCCTGCCCCGTCTCGTCAGTCGGGCCGCTGCCCTGCAGCGCCACAGCGCCAGCTTTAGCAGGGTCTCCCGGCCCTCCGTGCTCCGGACGGTCATGGAGTCCACGGCGCCCAGCTGCTGCACGTCGCCGTACTGAGGGTTGAAGCGCCTTGCCGCGTTCGTCGGCGCCCGCGAGGCAGCCGGGGTTCCTCTGGTTCGTGGTCAGGGACAGCTGCGTCGAGAGGCTCTTCGTCTGCACCAGCGCCTCGTCGTTGATCATGATGAGCTCGCACTGGTGCGCCCCGCCGTCCAGCTCCAGGAAGACCCGTGCGCTCTGGTTGCCCAGCAGGCGCAGCTCCGGGCCGCTGTCGGACGCCGCGCTGTTTTTGGAAATCTGCAGCTTGCTCCAAGAAGAGATCGTCCGAGAAGTCTGAGGTGTTGGTCACGGTTCAGCAGCGTTCGGAGGCGCGGTGAAGTACATCTTGGCCGTGCCCCACGAAGCTGCCGTACAGGGGGTCGTAGACGTTGTCGGCCTCGGACATGTGCGCCACGAAGTTGGCCGCGCGGAGCTCGGCCTGGCGTCAAGTTGTAGGCGCGCACGATGTTCCAGGGGTTCACTGCCAGGGTCAGGGTGTAGCCGTCCACGCTCGCTGCGCCCACAGTGTCCACGCTGCAGCCGCTGCTGGGGCGAACCGTCCAGTTCAACAGGGAGACGTCCGTGGGGCCCAGGATCTGCTCGCCGATGGCGGCCACCACCTCGTCGGCCCCTCCGCACGGCTATTTGTAGGGCCGAGGCTGCCTCCGTGACTCCGAGCTTGCCGGATAGGAGGCCGTCCACCTGTGCGACGGTGTAGTAGCTGAGCAGGGCGGCTGCTCGACGCCGTGCCGTGTCCTGGTCGGCGGCCGAGCGGTACGCCAAGGTGATTTGGTTGGTCGTGAAGACGTCCTGGTCCGGGCCCGTCCGGTAGGCCAGCAGCGCGCCTGTGTGTCCTGAAGGCTTGCCGCGCGGTAGTCGGCCAACAGGCGTCCACTTGCGCCGAGGTGTAGTAGGCCAGCAGCGCAGCCGAGATGGCGCTGGTCGTCTCGGCGTCCTGCGCAGCGCCCGTCCGGTAGTCGACCAACAGCGCGTCCACTTGCGCCAAGGTGTAGTAGGCCAGCAGCGCAGCCGCGAGGGCCGCGTCCGCCGCTGCGACGGAGTAGCAGTCGGCCGTGATGCTCAGCGTGTCGTCGCCGTTGGCCAGCAGCAGAGAGAGGAGCCTCGAGATGCAGGTTGCGAACGACGTTGCTTCCGCGAACAAGCTCCCAAGTTGTGAAGCCCGCCCAGGCCGGCGCGTTAACAACTCCGCCGCTGCCGGAAAGCTGCAGGGCGGCGAGCTCCGCGAGGATTGCGTCGAGGGCGCTCTGGAGCGTGGTCTCGCTGGCTGAGAGCGCGGCGTACGAGGCCAGCAGCGTCGCGTCGGCCTTGGCGCCCTGGAGCGCCGAGATGCTGGCGTCACGGCTGGCAAGCTGCGCTGCGACAAAGGCCTCGGTGGCGAGACCCAGCAAGGCATTTGCTATCTTGGTGTCCACCTCCAGCGGAGTGTTCAACCCGTCCACCGTGGAGAGCAGGGCGGCCAGCACGCTGGCGTCCGCCTTGCCGACGAGGGCGGCATCCAGGGCTGCCGTGGCTATCTTAGAGCCCACCTCCGAGGAAGTGTTGACGGCCGACAGCAGGGCGTACGCGGTCAGGGCGCTGGCGTCCGCCTTCAGGCCCGAGATGGAGGCGTCTCGGCTTGCGAGCTTGTAAAGAGAGAGACCTGAACCCCGTAACCCTGCCCCAGTCTCAGCCGACGGCTCGCGGGCAAGCTCCAGTTCCGGGCAGTCGGAGCCTGCCTCCGCCCAGCTTCGACCAGCTGGCACGAGACATTGAGGCTGCTTAAAAAAACCCTCCATGAGGAGAGTTTTTTTTTGCACGGTTTTAGGCTACAAAATGCTATTAGTATAGTGCCTGTATCAACATACACACTAGATCACCGTGCTGCTTCTCCTGCACAGCGGCCACTACAACTTGATCCACAACTTCCAGGCGCTGGCCAGCAGACAGGGGCTAACCCTGAGAGCCACGCCCAGCAACACTGGCGGCGACATGGAGTACAAGTGGCAAGGTGCATGGCCCGCTTTACCGCAAAGGCTCCTGGCACCGCGCCACCGAGATGCCGAGCACACTCGGAAAGTGCCGCTGCCCGGGCACGGAAGGACTGCCCCATCACCTCAATGGCCTTGGAGCGCGCCGCCAAGAGTTCTCGGCGTCCTTGGACTTGCCGGCCACGTCGAAAAGGGTGGCGCCGCTTAGGTTCGCCTCTGCCATGGCGTGCACCTGCAGCTCAAAGATCTGCACCAGGTGTCCGTGAAGAGCAGCGCAGGAAACCCTCCAAGTCGTTGATCTGAAACTTGAAGTTCGCACGGAGCCCTTGCCCACGGCCAGCTCGAACTCTGAACCTTCACACTCGGGCTCCTTGCTGTGGAGGCTTCGATACCGAGCGCGCCACGTTCCTGCCCGGCGTCGAAGCCTCTACCCGGCCGCGCCACCTACAGGGAGAGGGAGCTCGAAGTTTTTTAAGCCCTTATAGGAAATTATGGGTTTTGTACCCAGAGACTTATCGGGGGCAGGAAGCTCTCACGACCGCACTCAGATGTTTTGCCGGGAATGCGAGGCCTTGTGTCACATCATAAACAGACCAGGCAAGCAAACCATCAGCCCCCCCCTCAGCCCCCCAACGGAGCGATAACAGCTCAGCTGTGAGCGAGCAAGGCATGAATTACTGACCGATGGAAAATCGTGCCTCAATAGTGCAAACATGGGTGGGAGGGAAGGGAACAAATCAGACACACCCCGAACACTATGTTCGAGGATATGAATGCACCCCTGCACCCCGCTAAGCATCGAGCACCAGAATGTCGCACGAAAAGATCATCATGGGTAAAAACACACATGAACAAGTACATGCAGCGTTTTGTACCCAGAGACTTATCGGGGGCAGGAAGCTCTCACGACCGCACTCAGATGTTTTGCCGGGAATGCGAGGCCTTGTGTCACATCATAAACAGACCAGGCAAGCAAACCATCAGCCCCCCCCAAAGGCCCCGGCAAAACATCCTCGCTCCTACATACCCCCTGAAGTTGTGAGGATGGCAAATCCCAACCCAACCGTGTGCCTTTGGGCAACACTTTGCAAGTTGGGCAAACCTGCCAAAGGTCTTGCAAGGTGAAACGGACTCTGTTGGGATCTTGCATGCGCTCTGGCTTTGGAAAGTTTTCATGTAAACGACTCAGCGCGTCTGCCTCAATATTGTGTTCCCCAGGAATGTGCGTCGTGTCCAGTCTGATAGCACTGCGCGTTGCCATCAAGCAAAGCTGTTGCAGAAATCGGCACAAAGGATACTTTGAGCTGAAAAATTTGTTCACGCCAGCCTCGACTGATGTGTTGTCTGTAACAGTGGGAAGTACACAGCACAATCTGCAATTGGGCGCCTTGCTTGCTGCCACGTGCAAGAGTCCCATTTGCGCAAAGGTTTCATAAGAAGAAATGTCCTTTTGGGCATGTGGAAAAGTTCCGAAAACCACAGAACTTTGCCATTGGCGTCTTGAAGGAATCCTCCGACTCCAATATCATTGCCTTTTGCACAAGCATCTGCTGCTGCAGTGATGCTCCACCAACGTGGTGGATACAAGGAAAGGACTGGTGGCATGCTGGACGCCCATGTTCTCCACATCTGCAATGCGTGAATAGAGTCTTCATGCAGTTTACGCCTGCTACTAGTAGGGTCTGAAACCCTCACCCAAATTCTCTTATCAGTGATGCGCACGTCTCTCAAATCAGCCTTGCGCCTCAACTGCTTGTGTCTTACGCTTAAGACACGCGACCCAACTCGGAAGCTCGTGCCGGGCAAAGTTTCAGATATGGTCAGGTCGTCGTTGATGATGGAGCAAAAGCGCAACCATTGATCAGGGTTCAAACTGTATTGGGTTGCAATTGGGCTACGCAAATCCTTGTACAGAAAGTAGACCCACGGACGCATCAGAGGGAACAAGTTGGTAACCCACAAAAAGAGGCCGATAAACTGCTCTAGAGCCTTGCGAGAAACATGCCGATGCGTCAGCAAAGACGCGATCTGCTCAAGTAGCTTCAATCGTTTTTCCTCAGTCAGCGCTACGTAGCCTGAGCTAAAATGAAAAGACCACCCAACCCAAATAACTTGCGGTCCCAGCTCACATTTTGGCCAACTGATCGGACAACCCAAAAGAAGCGCCAATATCACAATCATGGTTGCTGACAGCGGCAAAACGCGCTTGCACATCATGAATAAGAAATCGTCCACGTAGAGCAAACTGGCATGCTTCCAAAAAACCAGGTCTTGGAAAATGCGAAGCAGCAGAGCACCTGCGCGCGCCCACCAATGTGCAGACGGCGTCGCTCCGAACGGAGTGACCCGATAGAAATACAAATGTCCTTGATGACGAAAACCGAACAGTCCCTGTTCTGCCGGTAGCAACCTAATTCTTTTGTGGGCGGCTTGTATATCGAGCGAGAAACCCCAAAGTTCTTCAGCATTTTCACGCAGTGGGAACACTCTTAGCACGTCTTTGGGTGAAGGGACTGTGCATCGATCTGGGATAAGGCACCGCTGGTTGGTTCCACAAATGGTGCTGTCCAAAATCAATCTTGGTTTGCGGCCTGGGGCCGTAACCACATTAAGCTTACCAATGGCAACCCCTGCGGGGAAACATTGCTGAGCTTGTGTTAAGTCACCGTCAAAGCGGTAGACCCATCCTTCTGCCATCTCCTGCTGAATGAGATCGCTCACCAAGTCAGCATTGGCTTCCGCATTGCTCCAATTGGAAAAGTGCACTGAAAGATTGGTATCGGCAACAATGGTGGTGTCACGGGCTGGGAAAATTGTACTGTGAGGAATGTTGTGATGGAAGCCGGAGGGAACTCCTTCAAATAAGGCGGGCATAACGGCCTTGTCAGGGTGCCGAAGCAAGGAGCACAAACGATCCAAAATATGAAGCCGGAAGGGTTGCCACTGGGGTATGGCCCAATCAGTATCCTGCAATGACAAAAAATTGATCAAAGCTGTTTTGAAAGGTGCCAAATCTGCTTCAGAAAAAGGAGGTTCTGCTGAATGTTGCTGCAAATGTGCCATCAACTTCTTGTGGAGGCCACCATCTAACACCAGCTTCACCCATGTGTGGCGTAAGGCCTGTAGGTAGTTGTCATTCTGCGGAGCACTCCAATCTGGATTCCCACCTGCACCATCGTGAAGAGCCCATGGTGGCTCATGAATGCGCTTGATTGGAATCCAGGAGAGAGCTTCCTGCAATGTCAGCTGTTTTGCAGGTCCAGAACACATCGGCGCCACAATCGCCGCAAAACGCCTGGCAAGCTCCAGCGGGTACTCTGCTGTCCTCTCACTGGGAGTTGAGCTGTCCGCCAGTCTGATTGTAGACGTTTCTGGATGAGGTTCGGGAGAATGGTCACTTGAAAAGGCCAGTGCGTCGAAGCTTGCATGCGTGCCCGCAAACAACCAGCTGTGGTCACCGTCCAGCCCAACGCTGCAAGCCGGGACGCTGATGCATGTGGCGCCTGCGCGACGGAGCCACGTCTGCACAACATCTTCCTCCCAAGAAACAGCATTGGCAGGTTGCTCCAAGTGCCCCTGACCTCCTGCTCCGCCTGCCAAATACAAAAGGTGCACCATTTGCTTCAGCGCAGGCAATTGTAGCAGGCTGCGCTCCCTGCCATTTGTCTTTACCGCCAGGTATCCTACTACTCCAGCAGAACAGAGCCGCTCCAAGGAGCTGAATACGGCATCGTTGACCGCATTGGTTGCTGCATCCAATGGAATGTCACAATGAAGAACGCATTTTCCCGCCTCCATCATTGCTCTGGACAATGGCACGGAGCTTCCTGAACAGAGATCCAGAAAAAATCGTGGATGAACTTGATTCTGCAAAAATGGCTCCTGGGCAGCTTGGCTGCCAGGAACTCCAGGCTCGCGGTCTTGCGCTTGCCGAGTTGGTTTGGGTATACTGCATGCTGGTGAAACATCTTGTTGGCGCTGAGGAGCTTGACTGAACAAAGTGGCTTTCTGGACAGACTGACTGCACGAAAAACCGGGCTCGCATTCAGCGGCGTGCTGTGTTGGATCGGTCATGTTGCACACAGGTGCAACATTTCCAGGATCCTGGGGCAGAATATCATGAAAGCTACTTTCCCGGCCTGCCCCGTCCGGGACGATATCCTGTCAGTGCGAGGCGCTAGCATGGTCTCGAGCCGCATGCGAGCCCGCGCAAGCTACGCCGTCTGCCTTGGGGTAAGCGCAAGCATGTAGAAAGTTGCATTGCGCCATGGAGCAGCGTCCTGCGTTCCATTGCATGCACAAGGTGTGACGCCGGCCATCTTTGACCACTTCCGCAATCCACTGCTGACTGTTCAGCCCAGGGCGTTTGGGCCCCGCAGGCCCTTTGGCGCTTTTCTTTCCCTTGCCCTGAGCCTTGCCACCTTTCCGACTCGACGAAGTTGCAAAGGAATTCCCAGGGTGAGCCAGAATCACCGGTTTGCAACGAGGCTGCAGCAGCGCTTGCATATCGGGCCTGAGTACAGCAAATTCGTAAATTGCATCGTCCAGCTTCCATCCCTTGTCAGTGACCAACTCGCCGACCTGTTGCCAAAGGCGTTGATCCGCCTGTTGGGCTTCTTGCAGGCTAGGGGCGCGCAGACCTGATGATTGCTCGAACCTGGCACTGAGCAACTGCATGAAGCGGTTTTTGTAAGTATTCAGTGTTGCCAGATGTGCGCCCCGGCAAATCGCGATAGCCAAGTTGTGAACATGCATGGAAGTGTTGACCGCATGCATTCCCATGTTTGCAATGTCAAGCGCAGGAGGCTCATCGCACATGAGATCATGCAACTGCAAGTGCTCCACCTTGGCGAGCTTGGGAGTTCTGGAGTGCACCACTTCGTCATGTTTGGTAATGGACAGCCGCCATTTCCAGGGGATCCATCGCCACTCCTTTGCAGAAACTTGCTTAAACACCAAGCTGAGCAGCCTTGTGCTAGGACAGTTGTCCGCAGTGAGCAATTCGCTAGGATAAGCCTTTTCAAAGGCTTGCTTCAATTCTCTGATCTTGCTCGTAGCCATTCTCGGTGCAAAAGTCTCTGACCAACCCTGCGAGCCTTCAGCCGCCACAGGTGTATCCTGCTCCTCAGATGGCGCAGGAGCGGTTGGAACCTGCTGGCACTTGTTCCACAGCAGGCGAAAACGAGCCAGCGGCAAACCAGCAATGGGCTCCGCAAATGTTTCCGTCAGAAAATCATCAAGATCCTCCAGTCGAGTGACACAGAACTGAAATGTTTCACGCGTCCAACCTGCTTGCAAAAGGTCATCTTGGAAGACATCTGCAATCTGGCACTCATTCATGAGTGAAACAAAAGTGGGGTCGGCTTCGGACGAGTCTCCATGTTCCATTGCTGCCGCAACGCGTTGCAATGTGCCAGCGGATGGTATGTTACCAACAAAAAAGGAAAGAACGAAAATGTAGATCTATAAATGCACCTGCTTGAAGAGCAAGTTTTCTGGTTGAGCAAAGTTGTTCAAGACACGCATGTCTTTCGCGCCAGGCACGCTTGCCCAGCGCATGTTGCAAGCATGCAACCGCGCAGCAGGCTAGTGAGCTCAGACACACCCCGAACACTATGTTCGAGGATATGAATGCACCCCTGCACCCCGCTAAGCATCGAGCACCAGAATGTCGCACGAAAAGATCATCATGGGTAAAAACACACATGAACAAGTACATGCAGCGAACCTATAGGAAACCTATAGGAAACCCATAGGAAACTCACAGGAAACCCATAGGAAGTCCATAAAAAAAGAAGAAGAGGGCTGGGTTTCCTGTAGATTTCCTACACGGTTCCAAGAGGTTCCAATAGGTTCCTGTAAAACCCCTCAGGCCCGGCACGGCGTTGGAGCCTCCATCCGGCCGCGCCACCTGCCCGGCATCGGAGCCACGCCAGCCTGCCGAGTCATACGAATCATACGGATCATACGGTCATACGGTCATACGGTGGCTTGGCACTGCGCCACCCGGCTGCGCCACCTGCCCGGCATCGGAGCCAGCCTGCCAAGCCCGCGCCACCCGAGGTCGGAATTCTTCCCAGGAAAACGCAAGTCCTCCCGTGGGGGGAGGACTGTAGCACGCTTGTATTTGTCCCATGAAACTTTGCACGCCACGCATAGTTTCGGCATTAGGCTAAAGGCATGACCTGGACCATGAATTGAAGGAAATTTTCCCTCAATTCATGTCCAAGCGCACCAGCCTGCCAAGCCCGCGCCACTTGAGGACGACCTCAAGGCGAAAATTTCGGGACAAATCACCGAAATTTTGCGGTGAACTGTACTTCGTGGTGCGCCTGGCGCGGGCCTGGCGCGGGCCTGGCGCGGGCCTGGCGCGGGCCTGGCGCGGGCCTGGCGCGGGCCTGGCGCGGGTTCCAAGACCGAAGCCGCCCAGCCGGCCTCGCTCCAAGACGAAGCCGCGGAGACGGCCTCGCTCCAAGACCGAAGCCGGAGATCCTGGACAACGGAGAGGTAACTGAGGGCAGCTGGCCCTCGCTCTGACGCCCTACGCACAAGTAACAGACCTGGCGGTGAACACGGCAGCCTCCGGCAACAACGCAGCAGCCATCCAGTCGTTGGACGACCGGCGCCTGGCTCCACAGCTCCAGGTCAGTGTTGCTTGACAGCACACTCCGACCCTCTTGGCCCCGTCGCCCTGGAAGTTGCCGGGCTTCCACAACACGTCGACGCACACCAGCGCGCCCTGATGAGAGTCCTCTATGGACATGAATTTTCCCCCCTTGCGAAGAAATATGTATTTCACGTATCTCCTCTTTATGATTATCTCTCCATGTCTGCAAGTAGATTTTCATTTTTTCTCTACACAAATCACAAGTTTTATGATTTTCCGAAAATAACCCAATCTTTCTATTCATTTTACAATGTGTGCAGTATTGTTTTTCTCCTTCTTCTATTTCTTTTTGTTGCTTATCCATCGCTTTTATCAGTCTCTTTCTTTGGTCTTTCTTTTTCTGCCTTTCACGGCATCTATCACAAGTTTTACAACTATCGGTAAATACATTTCCATCCTTATGACATCCACAACACGCGCAATATTTCCTTTCCATAATCTTCTACAATAAAATGCAATCTACCCTTTAAATAGTTTTAGACACAAATAATATTTTTGCTCTGGGGTAAGACCCTCGTAGAAAAAAACACCAAACAACAAACCAAACAAAAAATCAAACAACCAACCACACAATAGACATTTACAAATATATTGAATAAATCTGATAATTGTATCTTATTAGAACTATTCATGATGAAGTGTAGTTGATAGAATAAGCGAAGTATTCATCATCGTCTGACCCCTGAACTTCAATGGTTCCACCAAAGGGGGAAAGAGGTTCCACCAAAGGGGGAAAGAGCTTCCACCAAAGGGGGAAGCCCTATTAAAAAAATGTTCCACCAAAGGTGGAAGCCCTATTAAAAAAGTGATAAAATTGTCTCCACCAAAGGGGGAAAGAGGTTCCACCAAAAGGGTTGAAACTTGATTTCAACCCCAACCGCAACCTTGTTTTCCTTAATTCACCAAACTCACCAAAATTTCTCAATTAATATCGATATTACATTAAAACCGAGCGACTTTGCTATGGTTCCTACACTGCCTGTTCCGCTAAACATCTCTAATAAATTCATTTATTAGAATGATTTATACTTTAATTTTCAACAATTACATATTTACCATCATCACCCTTAATTAGTTTATAATATTCTAATGTTTGTTCTTTTGGACTTTTGATTTGTCCCTTATTTACCATATCGCAATATTTTTTACGCTTCGTGTCATAATCACCGCTGGGTCTGCCTATCCCTTTCTTTTCAAAGATTTTGTCAGTCTTTTCCTTCTCTTCATTGTTATTTTTTGGTTCGTTTGCCTTTGCATCAAGTTTCTGGTCAATAGTTTTTATCATCTCGTACAACAGTTTAACATTTTTACTAACTGTCATTATCTTCTTTGATAGTTCAGCAATAGCATCATTCTCAACTTCAGACATTTCTATATATAAATATTTATATATTTATATATTTATTTATGCGTTTGAAGTGGTGTTAAATCTACTCTTTAAATACTAATGTTTCATCATTCTTTCTCAGGTGTAAATAACCTACCAAATCCACTTTTGAAGTTTTCTACCCAACTTTCTTCAACTGTGCTCCCGTCGGCATCTTTCTTTTTTACTGTATGTACTGTATGCATGGTTCTACCACATGAACATGTTCTTTATCTAATTCTAATTCATTTAATGGTTTAATTGTTTGACCGCATTTTTCGCATTTGACACATTCAATCTCTTTTTGTTTCTCTTGCTTCTTCTTTGGAGGCATTTATATTAACATTTACATTTTTATTTTTGAGATATTCTATTCCTACCTTAACTATTTCTAAAACAAAATAGCATACTTTCTTACATATATTATCAGTTATTACAACTTGTCCTATATTTTCTACTTCATCTATTATATCCATATAATCTGTATAACTCCTTTGCATATTAAATAATAGGATAAATTACAATTAATCTTATTATTTCATGCGTAATAGAATATTGATGGGGCACAGCACTTGGAGTTTTCATTGCACACACGAATTCTTCAAACTAATTAGCTTCAATGCTCATTGATTGAAGCAATGGAAAACCTGTTCCATTTTATGATATTCGCCACCAGCATATCATAAAAATGATGTTCCATTTAATATTAATTACAAGTTAATTTTTAAATATAATTTTCTATATTTCTTTAATATTAACTATGACAGATGTCCCAATAATAAAACCAATAAACATAACTGAATATGAATTCAAACAATCCAAATATGAGCACGTGCCAAAATTACCATTTAGAAGTATTATACTTGCGAGTTTGACAGGTGGCAAAACAGTTTTAGTCCAGAACCTTATTTTACATGTTTATACAAATTCATTTGCAAGAATATTTATATTTTCCCCCAGCGTTCATAATGACCCAACCTTTACAGAAGTTAAAAAATATATCAGGGATGAATTGCACGTGGATGATGAGAAAGAACAAATTTATTTCGATAATTATAATCCAAGTGATTTAGAAAATGTAATTGAAAGACAGAAGAAAATTATTAATTATATGAAGTCCAAAAAGATAAAGAAACTGCATTCAGTATTAATCGTTATAGATGACCACGCAGACGACCCTAAATTTGTTAGATATAGAAAATTATTACATGGATTATTTACAAGAGGCAGGCACGATGCAGTAAGTGTAATTTGTTCAACACAAAAATATAATGTTTTAGCGCCTATCATTCGTTTAAATGCCAGTTCATTATATATTTTTAGGTTGAAAAATGCAACTGAGTTGATGAGTTTTATTGAAGAAAATAGCGCCATTGTTGATAAACAGCAATTATTAGATATGTATCATCAAGCCGTTAATGACGCACCTTATAGTTTCTTCTACGTGAATATGAATGCTAAAGACATTAACAAAATGTTTCATATCAGATTTGAACAGGCATTTCAAATTACGAATGATGAATAAAGATATTCTAATTTAATATAATATAATAATATGCTAATGAAACTATGTAGATGTGGTGGATTTTTCCGTAGAGGTAATTATAATTTTCATACAAATTCTTGGATACATAAACTTTATAAAGTGCTAAAAAGACGACCAACAGACGAGGAGTTATTAAGATTTCAAAATAATTTTGTTGATGAAGAAGATTTAATAGATGATATGTGTAGCAATGCCTCAACAAAATTACCCGAAAGTGAAATGACAGATTATGATAGCAAGGAATAATATTAGTTATGTTTCAATATTATCAATTTAAATTAACGAAGCATTGCAAAATTGTAAAGCAGGAAGTTTATATATTAATTTGTCAGATGTTTCTTTTTCTAATTTCTCAATTCGCGCCACACATTCTTGAATAGATTTTATTATTAAAGTATCTGCTCTTGTTTTTTCATCTACTCTTAAAGTCTTAATGTCTTCCATACTGGTATTTGCATCATTTTTACTTTGACCAATACCCATTATATATAATATTATTTAGATTTTAATTTTTCAAAATTATCTTTTTGTTTTTCTTCTTCTTCTGAATTTTCGTCTTCAGTTGGTGCTGGTATTTCTGTTGGACTTTCAGATGAAGAACTATGAACAGTAATAGGTGCAGAACTATGAACACTAATAGCTTCATTTGATGAATTGCTACTGCTACTTTGTGCATTCCCTGCTGTTATCTGATTGACTAAATCTGCGATATTTATTGTTGTTGCAATTGCGCTATGCGATAAGTTTAATATGATATCTGC